GTCCCAAGGGAGGTGGGAAATTCAGAGGAATCCTTGGGGTTTTTAGGGATTTTAGGGAAATTTCTCCCCCAGCAGTTTGGGAAGCATCTTTGGGTGGTCAGAAGTGACTTTCTCCCAAGGGATTTGCTGACCAGCACTGTGACCACTTTCTAGGTGGCCAAGTTGCCCAGAGCCCCATACAGGCTCCTGCTGAGCAGCCTGAGCTAACAAACCACCCCAAGGTAACAGAGGGTTTTCCTTGGATCCTCTCACCCTTCCACCATTGCTCACCTGTGGTTTACCTGCTTCAAAGGTAAAAAAAACCATTTCCCAGTGAGACAATGAACATCTCAAAGCCATGAGCTGCACACAGTGTCTGACAATCGTAGCCCAGAGCCAAGATCATGGGGTATGAGATAAGAATCAGAGATACCAGTCTCACACCTGGAAATGGCATCACCTTTGCAGCACTGCTGAGCAATTATTGTGTCTAAACAAAGAGCACTTTGATGGGTGGCAATGACAAGAACCTGCTGGCCACCACCACAAACACTGTGTTGGCATTCTGGGCTGGCTGTTGATTTAAGACCTAGATGTTGCTGCTTACTATATCTGGAACTGAGCAGAGCCAGCACTTGGCATGACTACACCTTGTGCTACATGTCTGCACCCACTGCCATTAACAGCAAGAGCAAAGCTTCCACAACCCTCACAAGTCAGTGTGGATGGATCAGCTCCTTCCTTAGGAAACAGCCCCAAAGGTCCTGTCTGTAGCCTCCCAAATAGAAATATGCCAATTTGTTCTTCCAGCAGCCACAGGACCCTATGAATAGATGAGAGCTTGCCATCTCACAGGGCTACTGTCAGCCTGCAGTAGCCTCAGACAGAATCAGGATCCTTGGGTTTGTTATTTTATATGCTTTAGGTTGAGAATAGAAATTGAAGTTGTACCTTCACAGATCACCATCCCAGGAACTACCCGTTTCCCCTACATGCAGGGACTTCTGCTATCACTTGGAGATCTAAACTAGCAAGCTTTTGTCTTTGCAGCTCCCTGGCAATTGGAACCACAACTGGATACAGGCTTTTCTCCTTAAGTTCTGTGGAGCAACTGGACCAGGTCCATGAAAGCAGTAAGTCTCCTGTTTCTCTGCAGTGGAATATTGGCCAACAGATGTTACCTGTATTATTGTGCTTCAGTCTGCCTTGAAGGGGTGATTCTGCTCACTGCTGCTGCTGCAGAGATGGCATCTGTTTCTGCTCTACCCATACCAGGAGAGGAACAGCTCTGGCTACTGCCCTGTGCATTGCAGCCTTTAGAGTGAGCTATAGACCTGGAGAAACTTCTCAACAGTCAGTAGTACTTTATCAAAGCTGAAGGACTCCCACAAGTTTAGAGTCCAGGTTCTTTGTCACTGCAAACCAGCATTCAGAGGCAATTTACCAGTAGCACATTTCAGATACACAGATAGGAGACCACAGATTCCCAGCACAGATGCTGGGTAATTCCCAGGCTTTTAGTCCAATGGGGTTTTTACAAGCAAGAGGTTTTGAACAGGTTTTCAGTGTAAGAAGGTCATTCACAACTGGCTTTCAGCTCTTAGCTGTGCTCAGAGCAGCATGCAATGCACTTCACAGCCCCAAACAAGTCAGGTCTCACAGAGCATGGACTCTAGTCTGGTTCAGGCCATGGGCAGAAGTGTTTCAGCTGAGTTGCTCTAAAGATAGAGCTGGGTTATTCTAGTCCCTCCCCAGACAAACCAGCATTCAGAGGCAATTTACCAGTAGCACATTTCAGATACACAGACAGGAGACCACAGATTCCCAGCACAGATGCTGGGTAATTCCCAGGCTTTTAGTCCAATGGGGTTTTTACAAGCAAGAGGTTTTGAACAGGTTTTCAGTGTAAGAAGGTCATTCACAACTGGCTTTCAGCTCTTAGCTGTGCTCAGAGCAGCATGCAATGCACTTCACAGCCCCAAACAAGTCAGGCCTCACAGAGCATGGACTCTAGTCTAGTTCAGGCCATGGGCAGAAGTGTTTCAACTGAGTTGCTCTAAAGATAGAGCTGGGATATTCTAGTCCCTCCCCACTGGCTATAGAGGAAGCCTCAGCAACCAGACACACCTGCATTATCTGGAACAAAGTCCAGGCTCCTTTCCTCTTTACCTCACAGGGTAACTCAGCTGCTCTACAGCAGCAAGCTAGAGACTTATTTTAAGAGTAGAAGTTTGGATTGCCCCTAGAGTCAGACCAAAGAGAAATGAAACAGATCCTTGATGGTGACACCCTCAAGGTGATGGGCTGAGACATGAACAATCACTGCACCCCCAGCACAGCCCAAGCACTCAGCACCATTCAGGGCTACCTACACTAGAAGTCACAGTCCCTGATGATTTAGGTACAGGTCCCCCTGGACCATTGTAATGATGCCTTCTCAACACAACAGGAGTCATCCCAAACACAGTCTTTGCAAGATTTACCACACCAGTGCTCACCACAGCCACACCAGAGCTCTCTAGAGACCATAACCCCAGTGGCAGGGAGGGATTAAACATATCAACCTTCTGCAAGGAGAAACCAGACACCACACAGAACAAACAATGAGTTACACACAGTTTGCTCCTTACCTCAGCAAACCCTGACTTGCTCACTCCCTCCAGGAAAGTCCCAGACCAAGCTGGGTGAGCTCCTCCTCTTTATATCCCCTTTCCTAGGATTCACTACAGCTGGAGAGCCCAAGGACCAGCTTCAGCTGGAGGGCCCTGCCCAGGAGAGGCACAACAGCACTGTCAAAGGGGGCTGCTTAAACTTCTGCCTTCAGGGGAAGGTTCCTTAACCCTTTCCTACTCTGTCCTAAATGCTTTGTGCCAGGAATGAGAATTTTTTAACACAAGCAGATGTTGAACACCTTAGCACTGAGCGTTCCAACCTGATTTCCTCTTGAGTCTTAACTAGTTGCTGCAATTAAACCAACCATAAGCCAAGCTAAAGACTCTGTCTCGCTTGTCTTTTGTGCCCAGATGAAATCCCAGATGTTTACATCGTGGAGCGTCTATTCTCCAGCAGCCTTGTGGTTGTGGTCAGTCATGCCAAGCCACAGCAAATGAATGTCTACCACTTCAAGAAAGGGACAGAGATCTGCAACTATAGCTATTCCAGTAACATACTGTCCATCCGGCTGAATCGCCAGGTAAGAGGCTGGGGAAAAGGGATTATCCAGACTTGTCCCACTCTGGCTCTTTGCTGGTGTTGACTTTCCAGCTGGGACCACCCCGCTGGTAGCCCAGGGAGGTTGGCACAGAGGCTGTTAGGTGGGACTGGAGGAGCAGGTAGCTGTCTTCTTCTGTCAGCTTCACTTCAGGCTTGGTGACCTCTGACAGAGGAACAGGATGGCTGTGGATATCATCTGCCACAACTGTTTGCTTCAGTAAAATGAAGCTAAGTCCTTGTTTTCATAGCACTTACACAAAGGCTTTCTGTTGTCTGCCTTCTTGCCTATTCAGCACACACCTCTGCCAAAAAACCCACCTTTTCATCTCCCTCCCTCCCTTGGATCCCACATCCTGACTTCAGGCCCACCTCTACCATCTTGGTTGCAAATGAGACCTTCAAAGTTAGTAACAAAACACAGGAGTAACTTGAACTCCATGGCTGAGGTGAAAGGCTACTTCTCAAGTACTGCTAGCAGCCTTGTTTTATTTTTAAAGGTGTGGAAAACATTTAGGCCACTTAGAAGAAAGCTTTTAAAGTGTTATTCTCTGAACTGACACAGCCTCATGCAGCTCTGAACCCTTTTGGGGGATTTTTAAGTAATCTTTTCTTTTTGTCCAGAATTATTTTCAAAGTAGATGCCATAAGAAGCAGAGGACATTTTACAATGAAGAAATAAGCAGTCTGTGTAATTGTATATAATCAGCCTCTCCTCAGTTAGCAACAGTGAGTCCTGCAGTAAGGCTCTCCCATAAGGAAACTCTGGGTTGAGTTTCCAGTAAAGCTGTATTTGACCAGAAGTTCCTGTACTACAATTAAATCTGTCCTAAATTGATTTTTTTCACTTCAACTTACAATGGAACTGGCAAAATAAGGACTTCCTTTGAATTGCAGATAGATGTATATGGATAAAAATAAACTGGGAGGTTCTACTTAGCAGCTCTAGGAGATCAGGGTGAGAATAAAATAAGTTCAGGTTTTTCCCAATGTGCTGCTCTGGAGATTGGCTGAAGATGATCATAGGCCCAGCTTTCCATCCACATCCCTTGGCTGCTTTATGAGTTTGGGTTCAAATCCTGGGCTGAGTTCATCCTCTAGCCATAACACAAGATGCACCTGGAGAGATTTGAAGTTGCTACAGATACTTGGGTAGCTAGAAGATTCAATCTACATTCAAGATGTAAACTGGTGGCAGTCGGGTTCTACGCGTGCTGTGACTTTCAAACCCCTTGCCTGGGCTTCTGTCTACAAGCTACACTTCATCAGAAGGCCATAGAAATCCCATACAAGGCATTAACACAGGAAAAATGGTGGCAAATAAAACAGGAAGAGGTCTCAAACCAATGGTGTGTGTTTGGATTTGGTCTCTCTGTGAAAAAGTCCTCTTTGTGTGAAGGAGCGAGTCCCTCAGTTGTTGTTGCTCCATGGGAATTGCTTGTTCCGTTATAACTCTCAAGTGTGTTAGGGTAGATCATGATTTATCTCAAAGTGGAGAATAAGGCTGTGCTGTGGGACTGGTGAGAAGGTACCCCGCAGCCTCCCAGGGTTTTCATTCAGTGCTGAAACCCCCACTGAGCTCTTTGGAGAGAGTTGATAGTTTTCCCTGGCTGTGTCCATACCCAGCACATTTAAATTCTCAACATACAACTCAGTTATCTAACCTGATTCGTGTCCAATTGAAGTCCTAAAGAAAAATACTGGTGAGCAGTAACATTTTGTACAAGACATAGTGTCTTGAACCCTGTGCAGCCATCACAGCACCTTCTTTGAGGCTTCATCCACGTGCACAGTGAGGATAAAACCCATTCCTCATCTCAGCAGGGTTTGCACTGATGTTAACATGGGCTACAGGGCTGCAGGGAGGGCAGGAGGCAGAGAACCAGCCCTCTCCAACTCCTAGTGAGCTTGTCCAGGCCTCCTTCACCTGTTCAGCTCCCTGAAAGGAGGTTGTAGAGAGGTAGGGGTCGGTCTCTTCTCCCAGGTAACAAGCAATAGAACAAGAGGAAATGGCCTCAAGTTGTGCCAGAGGATGTTTAGATTGGATATGAGGAAAAACTTCACCAAAAGAGTGGTCAAGCATTGGAACAAGCTGCCCAGGGAGGTGGTGGAGTCACCTTCCCTGGTGGGATCTAAAAGACAGGTAGATGAGGTGCTGAGTGACATGGTTTAGAGGTGAAATTGGCAGTGTTGGGTTCATGGTTGGACTCTTATGATCTTAAAGGTCTTTTCCAACCACTGTGAATCTGTGATTCACCTCCCACCCCCATCACTTTCCTGGATTTTGTCCCTGTTGGTGCCAGCATCTCTTACTGCAGCTTTGGCTGCTGCTTTGCCATCATCTAGAAACCTCCCTTCACCTGTACATCAATAGCAGAGCAGCTTTGCAGTTCTGGGAAAGCACATGGTGGCTTTGCTGAAATCAGCTGTATAAATATTACCCTGACAGTCTCTGCTAGCAAGTTGATGGCTTGTTACTGTAGAAAAGGCAAAGTCTTCCTGGAAATGCAAAATGGCTCTGACACAGCCC